GTTGCATCTTTTTGGCTTGCGAACGCGGCAAACCTGGAAGTGTATACTCCCGGGTTTCGCTGCGTGTGTGCACACAGAAGCACTCTATCACGCTGTGCGCTTGTGTAGAAGCGCCGCTCTAGTTGTGGACTTTTCGGGGTGCGAACCACACCCTGGAATGGATCGTGTCTGCAACTAGAGGTACCACTGTGCTTTATGTAAGTTTACTTTGGGTGGTCTGTGGTGTGTCTAGATTTGTGACTGAAGATGGGCACATACATCAAATTATTCATAATCGATTTTTAATTGTATTGTTACTGCTTTATATTATATTTATTGTATAAGAGTTGTATGCTAAAAAAGAATATGTAAGAAATAAAAGAAGCAATAAGGATATAATTAAAAATCACAGCATCTAGCACAGCTCATAACATTTCCTGCAACAGGCAGAAAAATCTGTTAAGCCGTCTGCCGAGATCCTCAGCAGCTTTCAAGTTGACTGGGGGGGGCGGAGTTTGGGAACCAGTGTACAGTCATACCTCGGGTTAAATGTGCTTCAGGTTGAGCGTTTTCAGGTTATGCTCTGTGGCGAACCAGAAGTAACGGAGCGCGTTACTTCCGGGTTTCGCCGCTCGCGCATGTGCAGACGCTCAAAATGACGTCACGCGCATGTGTGGAAGCGGCGAATCGCAACCTGCAGACACAGGTTGTGTTCGCTTCAGGATGCGAATGGGCTCCAGAACAGATCCCGTTTGCATCCAGAGGTACCACTGTACTGAAATGTAAGGAACAGCCTAGCAGTTGTTGAGTCCCACAGCCCTCCTGCCATAGTGCTTTCTGCCCTGGTGCAGTGGTTGGGGTGTTGGACCTAGGACTTTGGGAGGCTAGAGTTCGAATCCTCACTCAGCCATGAAGCTCATTGGCAGTGACTTTGGACTAGTCACTGACTCTTAGCCAAAGCTTACCGCACAGTTGTGGGGGTTAAATGAGGAGATCCTTGAGATCCTTGGATAAAAAAGGTGGGCTATAAAAGCAAAATGGAACTACAGTTGTACCTTGGAAGTTGAACGGAATCCATTCTGGAAGCCTGTTCGACTTACAAAATGTTCAGAAACCAAAGTGCAGCTTCTGATTGGCTGCAGGAGCAGTTGGAAGCTGCGGAAGCCCCATCAGACGTTTGGGTTCCAAAGAATGTTCACAAACCGGAACACTCACTTCTGGGTTTGTGGCGTTCGGGAGCCTAAATGTCCAAGTACCAAGGCGTTCAGCATCCAAGGTATGACTGTAACTAACTAACTAACTAATTAACTAATTAACTAACCAACCAACCATCCGTGTTGCTTCAACTGGAGATGCCCATGGGTAGAGGCAGGCACTTCTGAGATGTCCCCAGCTACAAACCACCACTGTTTCCCAAAGGAGAGTGTTTTGGTAATTCAGTGTGTGTTGAAATTTCAGGATCCCTGTTTCCCTGTCTCTCCTCCCACGCCCCCAATATTACAAGATGTTTCAGCAGGACTTAACAAATTCTCTCCTGAGGTGTCAGTATATGGAGGATAAGAATATGTTCTTTGTTAACCAACACCCTAGTTTTTTGAAACCCCCCTTTTATCCCAGCACTTGACAAAAACAAATGGGGGCTTTTTGCAGAACTGCAGCTCTGAATGTAGTGTCACCTTCTGTGCGCTGAAGTACTGCTTGTTAACTGGCATTTGTGACATGAGTTAAGCCTACTCTGTAATATAACCAGTCCTATGGAGTTTGTACTCCACCCCCCTTTTATTTATGTATTTAAAAAACAACACCACCAAAACCAAACCAAAACACACACCTCCTGAGGAGAGCCTTCAAGGAAGCAGACGTAGGATTGACCCAGAAAGGAGGATGGATGTGTGCAGCCTGACTTAATTGATATTGGGTTCTCTTCCCTCATCCTAACGACACTCTCTTTTTGCGAACAAGTGACCAAGTTGCCTTCCATGGGGAACCTGAAATACGGGCCAAGGAAATTCAGGAGAATGAGCAGCCATCCCGATCATGTGGGGGGAATGGCAAGCCAATGGTGTCTCTGGGAATTAAAAATATGAAACCCCATAAATATATTACTTGTGTGGTCAACTTTCCTCTATTCAGCAATGGAATAAGCTTCTGCTGTCCTGGAGAATTGTGGTTACAGTGGTACCTCAGGTTACAGACGCTTCAGGTTACAGACTCCACTAAATAGTACCTCGGGTTAAGAACTTTGTTTCAGGATGAGAACAGAAATCGTGCAGCGGCAGCGGGAGGCCCCATTAGCTAAAGTGGTGCTTCCGGTTAAGAACAGTTTCAGGTTAAGAGAACGGACCTCCAGAACGAATTAAGTTCTTAACCCGAGGTGCCACTGTACTTGAAAATGGAAAACAAGCAACCCAGAGCCCAAACCTGTGAGTTTTTGTTTGGAAGTAGGAGTCTGTGCTGTGTTTGATGTGACTGACTTCCAAGTTAAGCTGATTTTAGGATTTCCAGCATTAACAGTTGCCCATTTTTAATCTGTTACACTGCACTGTGACAGGCTTGTGAGAGGAGAAGATCTTGTATGTGTGTCGGGTATATTTTTATTCTGAACTCCCCATACAATGAAAATACAAAAGGAAACGGTAAAATTGCAAAAGTTTCCAGGTGATAACTAGATGGCAACAGCTACAACAAAACACTAAAACCAACTGCTGGACATGCCGGACTTCCTGGACCAATGAAAAAATGTCTTCCGTTGGGGTCAAAAATGGCATTTCCATTGGCACCAAGTGAGTTTCCCTGGGGAGGGCAATTCCAATAAGAGCTGCCCCATCTGCCAAGGGGGAATCCAAAGGATCCCTTCTCATGACTGTTGTAAAAGATACCCAGTGCCTTCAAATAGGTGTTTTTTTAGTCTATTTGTTTACCAGTTGGTGGTTTCACCATATCTAGAAGAAACTTATAAGTTGGGCCTTTAGCCACTCCCCCCCCACATGACACGAGAACTCGTTGGCATCCAGTGAGCTGAACATTGAAAGATTTAGGACAGATATGCAGTGCATTGTGAAACTATGTGCCACAGGAGGCAGTGGTGGCTACCAATTTAGGTGGCTTTAAATGCTGATTGGACTACACGTGGAGGAGAGGGCTTTGGATGGCTGCAAGCCACAATGGTTATGCTGTGCCTCGATGGTCAGAGGCAGCAGAGCTTCTGCATCCCAGTTGCTGGAAGCCACAGGAGGGGAGAAGAGGGCTCTTGGGCTCAGATCCTGCTTGGGGTTTCCCAGTAAGGCCAGTGTGAGAACTGGAGGGTGGACGAGATGGGCCGTTGGCCTGATCCCGCAGGCACTTCTTACGTTCTTGGCTGTTTGGCAGGGGACTGACCAGGATCCGGCTGGAGAGGCTGAGCTGCCCTGTTGGCTGGCTCCACTCCACGCTCTCGAAAGAGTCTTCTCCAGCCTTCTTTGGCAACACGTTCGAAATATTAAAGCACACATTTAGCTAAAATGAAAACAGGACTAGCAAACTGTGGGCCCATTTTTAAAACTACTCCAGGAGGTGTTGAAAGGCTGCCTTGGTCTAATTATAGCTGCTGTTAAATAATGTGTTGCAATAATTAATCATCAGCTCTGCTTATGGGGAAGGGGAGCAGGCAAACACACGGGCAGATGTGGCTGATGGTCTCAGTGCTTCTGTTTTCCTTGAAGCCTGCGATTGTTTTGGCCGGACGTGTTGCTGAATGTGACCCCTTACTCTTTCAGAAAATCACAGATGCCTCTGTTCTTTCATATGGAGGTACATAAATAAAAGCCACACTGTGCTCTCTGGATCCTGCTTTCTATCACGGTTCTGTTTTGCCCAAATTGATTTGGCTTTCATCTTGATGACAGACTCTAATCAAGCTTGTATCTTTTAGGGGGGCTTCCTTGACACCAGCTGATCATGATGCATCAAGTGGAGTAGGCTGTTGCCCTGTGCAGTGCCGGATCTACGTATAAACTAAACAAGCTATAGCTTAGGGCCCCACTCTCTCGGGGGGCCAAAAAAAATTTAAAGAAAAAACAACAACCTGAATGTACATTTCCAAAATACAAGATAAAAAACAAATAAAATAAAACCTACATACAGCAACAGTGTTGTGTAGGCTCCTATGATGTAAGTAATAGGCCCCGCCTGCTATATAGAGGGCCCCATTACCTTCAGTAATTTAGGGCCTCATCAAACCTAAATGGCCCTGTGCATACTTAAGGTTGCTACAACTTGATTGGTAGGTCTGGATTAACAAAATGTGTAATCGATTGCTACTGTTTTGAATTTTGTTGGGTTCTTACATTCCATGGTGGGTCATGCAAATGGCTGTTCTGAATAATTCCTTTTAGAGGAAGGGTGGAGGGCATTGGGGATGAGTTTATGGAACCAGGGGGGTGGTAAAAAAGATTGGGAACCACTGCTTTTGTTGGTATGATCTGATATAGTTGACATTTACCTTTAATCTACATTTTTAGCCCCCATTTAAAGGAATGTTGGGCAACCAAGAGGATTAAGGGTCTGGAAACAAAGCCTTACGAGGAGCGCTTGAAGGCGCTGGGTATGTTTAGCCTCGAAAAGAGGAGACTGAGAGGAGATACGATAGCCATCTTCACATACCTTAAGGGCTGTCACAGGGAAGAGGGAGCATGCTTGTTTTCTGCTGCTCTGGAGGGTAGGACTCAAACCAATGGCTTCAAGTTACAAGAAAGGAGATTCAGACTAAGTATATGGAAAAAACTTTCTGACACTAAGAGCTGTTCAACAGTGGAACGGTCTCCCTCAGGAGGTTGTGAGCTCTCCTTCCCTGGAGGTTTTTAAGCAGAGGTTGGATGGCCCTCTGTCCTGGATGCTTGAGCTGAGGATTCCTGCATTGTAGGGGGTTGGACTAGATGACCCTTGGGGACCCTTTCGACTCCTACGATTCTGTGATTTTATGATTCTATGAATCATTCCAAAAAGCATTACTTAGATTTATTAACAACTTTATTCTTTTTCAGGCAAAACCCGGAAACAACATTTGAAGTCTATGTCGAAGTGACCAATTCAGCATCAGCGGGTCCAGGTACTGTAAAATGCAGATGCTGTTTATGTATTGTACCTGCAGTGCTTTTGAGGGCTTCCACCAGGGTTGTGATATTTGGGGGGAATTGGTTCAGAGCAGGGTGGTCCAGTGAGTGGCCCAAGGGCCACATTTGGCCCACAAGGCCTTTTTTGTGAACCTGCCCCCCGCCATCGCATTACCCGGTTGGGCGCTGGGCTTTGGGAAGGAGGCCCATCCCACCCCTTCCCAAAGCCGCCTTAACACTTTCCCAGCTTTGGGAAGGAGGTGGGAGGGCTCTCGGGCTCTGCTGGTGCCCCGTGTCTCCTTCCCAAAGCCCGGCACACGCTTAGCTGTCTTTGGAAAGGGCTGTGGGGCAGGGCTGGGGATCCAATTTTGGCCTCATTTCCCCCCACTGCAGGGTGTGGCCTGCAGGTTCCATATTGAAGTCCCCTAGTGGACCACCTGGTATGAAAAGCTGAACCGCTCAAGTCAATATAGGAAGCTGAAGATGTGGTCTTGCTGAGCTTCTGATCCATTGTTGGGCTGAAGGTGCTTCTAGTTCCAGAACACTGGGAAACGTCTGATTTCCAGCATTCAGAGGAAAGCCTTTTGTTAAATGTTGCCACCAGTCGGAACTGTCAGCCTTCTTTTGAAATCTGTAAATTTCACCCACAGCCCGTTATCATTGTGGGCAGCTCAAAATACTGATTTCTTGAGCTGACTTGACTTTTCATTTGCAGTTTATCTGAAAGTTGTAATGTTGCTGGCATTGGTTGTCTGCTTTTTTCCCATTCTATTTTATCACCCTATTAATGACTTAAAGATAGTGTATTTTTTCACTTATAAAATTCTTACTGCTGTGTAGAGAGTTTAGATGTGTAGATGCTTCTAATGGGTCCGTGCAGTAAGGAAGCCTTGGTGTGAGAGGCTTGTTGACAATCAGGAGTGGGATGCCACCAAAAGCCTCTCTGAGCAGGTACTAGGACAATGAGGGAAAACTGGAAAGAAAGACTTGGTGGATTTGGTGTGTGGGTGTGTCTGAGTGTGTGAATCATAGAACTGTAGAGTTGGAAGGGGTCCCAAGGGTCATCTAGTCCAACCCCCCGCAATGCGGGAATCTCAGCTAAAGCATCTAGGACAGATGGTCACCCAACCTCCAAGGAAGGAAAGTCCACCTCCTCCCGAGGGAGACCATTCCACTGTCAAACAGCGCTTGCCGTCAGAATATACTTCCTGATTCTGAGTTGGAATTTCCTTTCCTGTCACCTGAAACCATTGGTTTGAGTCCTACCCTCCAGAGCAGGAGAAGACAAGCATGTTCCCTCTTCTGTGCGACAGCCCTTGAGATATTTGAAAGTTTTCACAACACAATAAAAGAAACAAACTAATCCACGGGAAGTAAAGAAACTAAAGAAAGAAGGAACATAAAAAGAAACTACAAGATCCTCCCTCATCACTCTATTTTAACTTTCATCCCCTGTGGAGGAAGGTGTGCCCTCCCACCTCTCACCTGGGCTCATCCCTCTCTTTGTACAGTCTCTCACCTTTTGAGATCTCCCCTTACCCACCTCTCACATGGGGCCCATGCTGTCCTTCCCCTTCATCAGTATACAGTTCTAATAAAGTACAATGAGGAAGAGTAATAATATAATAATAATAATAATAATAATAAACTATAAAGAGAGATAAAAGTGAAGAGAGAAAAAGAGGGGGGAAATAGATAAAAGGATCTCCAGCTATCAGTCTGTCAGTTGTATGTAGAATATTTCTTCAAAATAGTAAAATGCTCAATCCAGGTTATCCAGTTATTCCTCCCTTTGCTGGACATTGTTTTTTCCAGCCTTCCATCCAGTGCTCACCAATTCGTTTACCTTTTTCAGTGCAGAAAGTCTAAAGAAGATTCTCTAGTTACTGCCGTCACAATAATAAAACTTGTGCTTTATTCTTTATCTCCTCCTTCAAGAGAAAAGCTTTTTAAAAATACTGTATTTGTCTATTAATGCATGGTAGTTCAGTTAACTTTAAAATCTTAATTCGTGTCCCAATCCATTTCTTGTGCCATTTCCATCTAGAAATCTGTATCAGTCCTGTTTGTCCATATTGGTCCACTAGTCCTGTTTGTCCATTCTTTCTCCTCTTATTCCACTTAACCAGAAGAGCAAGATTCCATTCAGATCGCACACAAAGTCAATCCTTTCTCCTCTGCGCCTCCACTCCTGGGTTTCCCTCCAGAAATAAAATTACAGTATTTGGCAGCTCTGTTCCTTCCAGCCTTCACACACCAATTGCAACTCTTCCATTCTATTCTGCTTTTCAGACTGCGTCTCGGATTCAAGGATTTTCCTCCTTCCTCCCCCCCCCCCCCGAATTGAGTCTATAGCTTTTATCTACTTTTCTGGAAGTTCTGGCACTTCATCAATATATTCTCCTAGAATCATTTTTCTCATATGTGCATTTATTTCTTCAAACAGTGCTCTTGCCACATAAAGTCCTCGGTCTAGATTCTGTATTCTGTGGCATTAGCTACACCTCCCAGTTTGGTGCCATCTGCAAATTGGATGAGCATTTCCTTCATTCCTTCATCCAGGTCTTTTATAAAGATGTTGAACAACAACAGGCCCAGGACAGAACTTTGTGGCACCCCACTTGTCACTTTTTTCATTAATGAGAACTCTTTTGGTTTGGTCAGTCAACCAGCTACAAATCCACCTAACAGTTACCTCGTTCAACCCTCATTTTACCAGCTTGCTTGCAAGAATATCATGGGGGACTTTGTCAAAAGCCTTACTGAAATCAAGATACACTATGTCCACAGTATTCCTCTGATCCACCAAGCTTGTTACTCCATCAAAAAAAGAAATCGTATTGGTCTGGCATGACTTATTTTTGAGAAATCCATGCTGGGTCTTAGAAATCACAGCCTCTTGTTCTAAGTGCTCACAGACCCACTGTTGAATTATCTCTTCTAGGACCTTTTCTGGTATCAATGTCAAGCTCACTGGTCAGTGGTTACCTGGGTCTGCTTCCCCACCCCCACCCCGCTTTTTGAAGAGGGGGACAACATTTGCCTGCCTCCAGTCTGCAGGGACCTCCCCTGTTCTCCAAGAATTCTCAAAGACAGCGGCTCTGAGACACTGAGGTCCACTTCCATGGGTCTTCTGGCAGTTCTCTCATTGCGAGAAGTGAAGTTACAGGGAACCAGGCAGAGGGCCTTCCAGCAGTGGCGCCTGCCATGTGGAACACCCTCCCTTCAGATGTCAAGGAGATATCCTTAGAGTCCCTTCCAATTATGTAGTTCTATGGTTCTGTTACTTTTTATTAAGAGACCTGTTTGATTCTGAAGTTGTGTGTTGCTGACAGTGTCATGTTGGCTAGTTTAGGCTGTGGCTGTTCTGGATGTTCAATGCCATCACAAGCATGACTTCCTGAATATTAAACCCACCCACACCAGTTGAGTGGTCTCTGAATATGGAGTGCTGCCTTTACAGAGGGAGAACAATTGATTTGTAACCTTCCATTTTAGTGATACTAAACTTCTTGGGAAAAGTGAAGGAATTGGTTGATCAGTTGAGAAGATGGGCTATTAATGGAAACAGTTTTGAGGGCCACTATCTGTAGCAGACCTCAGGTACTGCTGCCTATTCCTTTAATTTCAAATTCCCTGCATGATTTTTTTAAACACCAACTTTGCCCTTGGAAGCTTTGATACGAAACTGCCATAGACATTATCACCTACATTCTCATAATAAATAGAATCATTCTTATACAGATAGACTGAAAGAAGCTTATAAAAGTCACGCACTGCAGTAAGAATGAAAAACCAGAGCTACTGTCTGTTTCCTCTTTTCTTTTCCTCTACCTTCAAATTGCCTATTTTGTTTTCTTCAAGGAAGCAATCACGTGTCATGTGCGAGAAATGAGCCGTTATCAGAATCCAGTGAACTTTTGAGACCTCTGCCAAAGGGCCTTCCTTATTAGAAAGAGTGAAGAGAATTTGGATATAGCTCTGTGACTAATAGCATAGGGTGGGGGAGAAAGTGTATTTGTTAGTCTAAAGTAGCTGATCAAAATAAGTCACCAAAGCTGGAACGTTTGAAAGTGAAAGGCTCACAAAAGTGAAATCCCCCCCTTGTGTAGGAAGCTTTTGTGTAGGTTTTGTGTGTGCGTGTGTGTGCTTGCCAAAGAAGACATCAGAAAAGAGTGTTGGATCCTCTGCTTCGCCACGCAGTGAGCCAGAAGGCCCCATCTCTCCAAGGACCTCCTCTTTCATCTTTTTGTGAGAGCCACGCAAAAATCTTGCTGTGTGTTCAAGGAATAGCTTAAAATGGTTTAGTGCAGCTAAAGTATTCCTTTCATTTCCCTCCTCCCTTTAAACACCCACCCACACCCCGTATGGCTTTAAGTTGGAAACCTAAATGTGGTACATAACACAAGGATGAAGTGATGAGCGTGTTACGGGGCCGGGGGGGGCGGGGTGCTCAATGTTCCCCGGGATTAGTAAAGGAAATGGCAGTTTCGGCTGCTTCCTTTTACAACAAAGGGATTTAAAAGGCCTAGCTGCTAAGTCTCTCTCTGTGTTTCGTTTCTTTTCTCCAAAACATACTAGTAGGTTGAAAAGGGAGATGAATCTTCCTGGGGAAATTATTAACTCTGAGGGAGTCTATCGTTGTTTGAGAGAATTTGCATTTCAACTGGCTCAGAGTGCAGTGTGTACCCATAATCTGATTCCTGCTGGAAGCTGGCTGAGTAGTTGGTGGAACTAAGAGCTTCCTACTTTGTGTTCTGACCTCTGCATAGCAACAGCTTTATTTTACTCAGCAGATCACACAAGGTCTACCTAAAAATAATCAAAAGTCCCAAGCTCTGCTGGGAGATACCACCAGGTACATCTTTGCAGCTCCCTCGTCTCCTGTGGTAGGACTTCCGCAGGTGACAGTGAAGTGAAAACTTGGCCTGAAAAAATGGACATGAACACTGCTTGGATTATGAGTTTATAAGAACTCTGTTGGATCACAGACCAG